GTGAGCCTCGCGTGAATTTAAAAATCTCCAAATATGGCCCCCACCTCCTATTGTGAGTATGTAATGGATTATGTAAAAAAAATTATGTACATATAGTATTTTCCTCAAATTTAAGTAGTCATTGTCCTCAAGTATCATTCATCTAAAGGAATCCCCTAAATACTCTTCTATTTTAACTGAACTTACTAAGACATCTACATATCTTAGTAGTTGAGCAACAATAGAACCTACTAAGAGACTTTCACCTAGCTATACAAATTTTATTATTATTATTATTTATTTTTTTGCAATAGCAATAATAAGAATGAGAGTCTATTAAGAAAATCTATGCATTAAAAAGGTACAGACTAATGAAATAAAAAAGAACTTTATACAAAAAATACAATAAATTAAAGCAAATATCACAGGTCTATATGTCTTAAATCTATTTATTTTCTTCAAGTATTCAATTAACCTTGCATTTATATTTAAAAAAATAAATAAAAAAATGCAAGAGGGCATAAAGATCAAAGGAAAAAAATCATACCAATAAGTATTAATGTGAAAGATTAAAAGTAAGTTAGAGAATTTTTAGATTGTTGAATTTGAAGATGAGGAACTAAGGATGATCGAAAAAGCAGAGCAAATTAAATAAAACAAACAAAAGAAATGACAAAGAGCAAAAAAATGATTAAAAAAACGAAGAGTCAAAAAGAAAAAGTAAGGAAAGTTACTAATGTAAAATATAATTTATTTTTCTTTTTTTTTTGAAAAATTTTCTTTATATAAATATGATTTAAAAAAAAAAATTGGGACCCGCACAAAGGAGGGGGCCTTTGGCGATCGAGACGTAGTCAGGGGACAAGGGTTTTTTTTTTTTTTTTTTTTGGGATACATAGAAATTTTTTTTTTATTTGTTTTTTTCTTTGTTTAGAATTTAATGGGCTTGGGGTGTAAGCTTTGGGAACCTGCCCCATCCTTACGCCCCTGACCAGCAAAGTTTGCTCTTGTCAACTAGAATAAAATTAATTTTTATATAATAAAATAGTGATAGTAAATGTCATTCACTAAACTGATCTTACGTTTATATTTCAATATTTACTATAAAACTGAAGGAGATTAAACATAAATACAATGAATTATTATTATTTATTTATTTTTGTAATGGCAATAATAAGAATGAGAGTCTATTAAGAAAATCTATGCATTAAAAAAGTATAGACTAATGAAATAAAAAAGAATGTTATACGAAAAATACATTGAAGTAAAGCAAATATCATAGGTCTGTATGTCTTAGTCTATTTATTTTCTTCAAGTATTTAATTAACCTTGCATTTATATTTAAAGAATGTGCACAAAAATTTGGAGCCATGGATTAATTTAAAGAATTTCCTTTTGAATTATTCAGTCTTTTTGACGAAAATGATTCCTTTCATGAAGTAAAGTTCTTCCTGTTTTCATTTGTGAATTTAATTAATTCCCTTAGAAATTAAATACAGTCAATACTTACCAAACTAAGACAATGACTTTCGATATATTGGTCATTAAGAATACCATTTAAAGTACCATTTTATTTTAGATAATGCACACACCACGGTGCACAGCACCGTTTGCAGTCCTCTCACATCTCGGGGGGTCCACGCGTAATAAAAAATTTGCGAGACCCCCCACTTGTGAGGGGGTTGTAACCCGTCGGGCTGTACAAACAGCAAATCGCTAGATAATAACATTGATAATTGCAGCCATTCTTTATTTAAAAGCAGTGGGAAATCAATTGTGTTGACAAATAGAATCAACTTATCAAGATTATTTTAATCCTGGAACTAGAATATAAATTTGGCCAGGGCAGACTTGCTTGACTAATACCAACTTGTACAGTTCGTAATAACAGTTGTTTAATAAAAAACTCTATTAGTCTGATTCAAAATGATGGACAAATATTTAATCGCAATTTTGTCTATGCCGTATTTTGCTTATTTAAAAAATGAGTAACAAATAAGAATTTTTTTTTTACCGAACTTCCGAACAGAAATCATACCAACAAGTGTTAATGTTAAAGATTAACAGTAAGTTAGAGAATTTATAGATTGTTGAATTTGGAGAAGGGGAATTAAGAATGAGCGAACAAGTAGAGCAAATTAAATAAAACAAACAAAAGAAATGACAAAGAGCAAAGGAAAAAAATAATAATAATAAAATGAAAAGTCAAAAAGAGAAAGCAAGGAAAGTTACAAATGTAATAAAATATAATTTTTCTTTTGAAAAATTTTCTTTATATAAATATATATTCATGATTTAAAAAAAAAAAAAAAGAAGAAGAAAAAATTGGACCTGCACAAAGGAGGGGGCCTTTGGCGATCGCCCAACCCCACCTATAGTGAGGGTTGACACCGCCCAAAACTCATGCCTTTCGTCGTACAAAGGAGAATTCATAAATTATTTTGTTCTCTCTATCAAATTGAAAATAATGGTGTCTTCTTCTCTTACAAAGTCTAAGTTAATCAAGATTCAACATATCTTCAGAGCAATTTCCTATCTCAAAAACTGAAAAATTTGCAGATTTTAAATCTTGGGTTTATGGAATATTTCAAGAACAAAAAAATTTCACTAGCAAGTGATAGAAGAATGTGAAACGTGCTGGCGGGAGTGGGGTCACAGGTGGAACGTTCAAGAAAAAATAGTTGGCTAATGTAAATGCTCATCTATATAATTTGAGATGAGGAATTAAGTATGACTGAACAAGTAGAGCAAATTAAATAAAACAAACAAAAGAAATGACGGAGCAAAAAAAATGATGGACAAACTATGATTCACCTGCCATTTTTTTTTTATTTTTTTTTTAATTTCATCTTCCAATGAATAAATGCTAAGTCTTATCTGTCACCATTTTCTGTCAAATTTCCCTGTTTAAATAGCATGATAATTCAAACAGTAATGTCAGTCGTATGGATGGAAATAATTCAAGTGCAAAATATAAGAAAAAATAAAATGATTTCTCCCCTGTAATTTATTTTAAAAGAATATTCTTCACATGGATAAATTATTTCATACGTTTGTTTATCGTAGTTTAAAAAAATTATTTCCTCGATAAAACTTTTGCAAGTGATAGTCAAATTTATCAACAAAATTGGTAATATAGATAGAAAATCGCTTAGTAAAAGTTAATATATTAAAAACTTCAAACAAAGTGAATTTTTGGAGAATGTGTAATTGAAAAGTACTGATAATTTTGGAATATACGAGTAGAATATTTTATTATGTGATTGTGTGATTGAAAATGAGTATATACGAAAAAAGAAAAGAAAAGAAAGAGTTTTTGCTTATTGATTGTGAAACCTTTGAACAAAGTTGTTGACGTATCACTAACCTCCTTTTCTCCGATTTTCAAATGTTACTTCCGAAGAAATTACAATTTTCATCCCAACAAATGTTTTCCATCCAAAAAGCACTACGAATAACTTAAGTCAAGATAAAAATAAAGTTGAGACAGCGATTTACTCCCTCCAAGGTTCTAGGGGCATGGGTTTTGGAGGTTCAGGATTTAATCTGGTGTAAGTTGGGATACCTGGATATTAAAAAAATAATAATAAAAAATAAAATAAAATAAAGTTGAGGCCCTCATGAGGTGGCCGAGTTGGTGGAATAGGTGAACGCGGATGTCTTTGTTCACAACTCGATTCCTCTTATCAACACTTTCTCGGTCGAACCTGTCGCACCAAACTTGCCTAGTACAGTTTAACTGACTAGCGCGGTTAGTAGACTATTGCGTCAGTCCGAGGATTTACTCAGTACGTACCCGAAGGATAGCGGCTGCGGATTCTTCCGTCATAAAAAAAATAAAAAATAAAAAAAAAAGTTGAAAACTAATGCATAAATATGTTATAAATTCTTTATTCAGTTCAGAAGCCAAAAGTGCCAATTAATAGTGGAATACAGTAACGTTACACCGAAGGACAGAGTATGAAATCTTAGAATCATAATAAATCGTCTCAAAAGTAACATAACCACGTCCTAAACGGAATTTTCCAGTACCGCCCACAATTGCCACTTCTCTTACCTCATCAAACTGAGCACTGCGTCCTTGTAGTTCAAGAGTACTGCCTTTGTACTCCTCATTAGTGAAGACAATCGATACTAGGACATGAGTATTAGACCCATCTAAAGCCGACGTTACATACATACCTTGGACTCGTCCAACTTCGGCCGAACTCCTCTCGACCCCTTTCGTTATTGGATCATCCGTGACGAAAATGGTTCCAAATTTGGAGAAATTAAGAGGTCCATTTGGCTGAGGAATGACCTGTAGTACAGTGGCATTTGGTCCACTGGTGAAATCTTGAAAATATAATGACATTTTGGACTTTTTGGGGTGATCGAATTCTCCTTCTGAAGTACACATGAACATGGCAAGAAATAGAAGAAAGGATAACTTGATTTTTGATGCCATTTTTCGATAAATTAAGAATCTAAAAGAAAGGGAATGATGTCTTGAACCTGAAGTTGGGGCGTTTCCATTAAAAATAGTGGTGGGAAAAGGGGGGGAGGGGGAGTTAGGGTTGAAAGTAAAAGTCAACGATTATGTTCTATTGAATTTTTATATTAAAATGACTATTTAGTCTTTACTTTTAATTTAATAAAATATAGAAAATAAAGTAAAATGAATAAAAAATAGAGAAGAAAAATGAAACGTTTCATCTCCCCCTCTTACCTAACCCCAACCTCAGTTGCTAACTACCCACTCTCTAAATTAGGAGAGAAACTTCAGTAGGACGGTCATAAGTATGATCACCCTATCAAGTTGCGTCACCTCGATGGATGGCCCACCACACACTCCCGAGTTGTGTGGACCACCATCGAGGTGGCTCCTTGACATTGGACAAGCACGCAACGTCTCGGTAGTGGTGCGCCCGTCCCATTGAAGATCCTTCCCTGAATTAGATCCACCACGACCTATATTATTAGCTTGCCATCATTGATCATCTATATCGTTATCACTATTTTTCTATTTCAAATTGCATCCTCAGAAAACCGATCTTTATAAGAAGATGGGATTTTGAATGGAAATAAGGAGGAAGGGGAATAATGGATTTTGAAAATCAAGAATATTCGTTTGCGGACGAGATAGGCAAAAGTGGTGGTGAAGGGTTGGGGTGGTGAGTATTTGTTTGTTTAATTAAAAATATGATTAAAATCACTTTTAAAAAAAATAAATTTGTAACTAAAGCCTACTGTACTAGACTATCTATATAGACCTCATAGTTATAAATGTGAGATGGAAAATTCTACTTATACAACACACAAGCTTACAGCCCCTCACATGTGGGGAGGGGGGGACGTTGATCGTGGGGCCTTCTTACGTGAGAGGATTGTACCAAACACAGCCCGTGTAAGAAAGTGGAGGATCCAAGTGATTTACCTTATGCTTCAAAACAACTGCTATATTTCATAATTGGCCAACAAAACAACTTATCTATATGACAATCTATTTAAAAGTTTTAATTAGTTTTTGCTAATTGAAAACTTATATAAATATTTTAGAGTCTTAGACCATTTGATTATAGAATTTGTCCAGACTATACATAAATTGACAGATTTAGCAAAGAGAATTAATGTCTTAAGCAAAAAATCAACAGAAGATTTTTTTTTTTTTTTTTTTTTTTTTTTTTATCCCA